ACCCTATTCCACGGGTCCATACCAACACTCTTAAGATGGAGGTTGAACGTCTCTGCGAGGCAGGAGTACTCAAGAAAGTAAACCGTTCCGAGTGGGCGGCACCAACTTTCATCATTCTCAAGAAAGATGGATCGTACGATTCATCTCTGATTTCCGGGAACTGAACAAAAGGATTAAGCGGAAGCCTTATCTATCCCAAAAATACAGGACATGCTCTTGAATCTAGATGGATTCAAGTACGCTACTAGTCTAGACCTGAACATGGGATACTATCACATCGAGCTGTCACCTCACTCGAAGCAACTCTGTACCATCGTACTCCCGTGGGGAAAGTACGAGTACCAGAGGTTGCCAATGGCCTATGTAATAGTCCCGACATCTTCCAAGAGAAGATGGGACACTAATGCACGACCTAGAATACGTCCGTGCATACATTGATGATCTACTCATCCTAACTAACGGCGATCTAGCAGATCACGTTGAAAAGTTGGATGAAGTTCTCCGAAGGCTTCGAGAAGCCGGACTCAAAAGGTCAATGCTACCAAGTCCTTCTTCGCAAGAGGAGAACTTGAGTACCTAGGTTACTGGATCACTCGAGAAGGGATCCAACTATAACAAGAAAATAGACGGATCAAGAATATCGCTCCTCCTACCAACAGGAAGGAACTCCGTAGATTCATTGGACTAGTGAACTACTATCGAGACATGTGGATTAGACGATCACATGTACTGCCCCACTCGCTTCGTTGCTTCCAAAACAACGAAGTGGAATGGGAAGCCGAACACGACAAGCCTTTAGCCAGATGAAGAAGATCATCAGCAAAGAAACCTTGCTCGCCTACCCTGACTTCAACGATACATTCGTTATCCACACGGATGCAATGATACTCAACTAGGTGCGGTATTTCCCAGAAGGGAAAACTATCGCGTTCTACAGCAGGAAAATCAACCCTGCTCAGACACGTTACACAGTTACCGAGAAGAACTTCTCAGTATCGTAGAAACTCTGAAGAGTTCCGTAACATTCTTCAGGACAGAAGATCGTTGTACTACGGACCACAAGAATCTTACATGTAAGAACTTCATACCGATCGCGTAATGCAGCGATGGCGCTTATTCTGGAAGAATACGGCCTTAACTACGGTACATCAAGGGCGAACAGAACATCGTCCCTGATGCGTTGTCGAGACTTAACATCTCCAACAACGACGGTTCTTCAAACAGATGGAGCCAGCGAGATCGCTGAACTCATGGCTCAGACGAAGAGGACTTCCTAGCGAGTCCCTCTCTCGTTCCCGAGATCGAACATCGTCAGAAGAACGACAACGATATCAAGAAGCTCCTCAGGGACAAGCCAAACGACTACAAGAAGCAATCTTTCCCCAGAGGGGATAAGTCCTACGACTTAGTAGTCAAGGACGAAAATCGTCGTACCTAAAAACTATGCAGAAGAAGCTAGTTGATGGTACCATGGTGTGCTGATGCATCCTGGCGAGACTCGCACGGAACTAACCATTAGCAACACTACACCTGGAAGGACTGCGCAAGACTGTGCAGGCCGTATGTCAGCGTTGCCAGAGCTGCCAGATGAACAAACCAAGAGCGTAAGTGGGATTGAGCCTCCAAAGACTTGGAGGAGATCCCTTGGGAAAGACTATGTATTGACCTGATAGGCCCTTACAACGTCGGGGATCCCAAGAAAAAGGAATTCCTGCACACTTCATTGCTTGACAATGATTGATCCCGTAACCGGATATGTTCAGATTGCAGAGATCTGCTCCAAGCAGCAGACGAAATAGCCATGTCCTAGAACAAACGTGGCTTACTCGGTATCCATGGCCTGCTGAGGTTATCATGGATAGAGGACGTGGTTTCCGCGCAGAGGTCGAAAAGACACTCCGGGATGAATATGGACTTCGTCGCAAGTTCATACCACGCGTAAACCTCAAGCCAACTCTATGGTCGAGCGTCTCCATCAAACCCTACGTAACTTGATCGTGTTCAAAACATCAAGTGCCAAGACGACCTCGTGAATGGATCCTGGGATGGAGTCCTCACGGCGGTTCGCTTTGCAATGGACCACGATTCATACCACCTTGCGTGCAACGCCGCACAGCTCGTGTTCAATCGTGACGCGATTCACAAGTCCGGTTCGAAGCCAACTGGAAGTACATTAAGGAACGTCGCAACGACTAATCAACAAACAACGATAGGAAAACGCAACGCGTGTCCCTCATCAATACAATGTCAACGATACGTGATGATTCAACAGTAAAGCACCGCAAGTACGGTCAGAGCAAAGTACAAAGGTCCTTACATATAGACCGAGTCAATGACAATGGCACTGTACGGCTCCAACATGCTACCGCCAACGGCGGCACGTCTACCAGATTGGAACATAAGGTATATACACCATACAAGGCCTGATCCCCTTGTAGGATTCCATCGTGCGACGCACATGTCCACATCAAATCTCTGAGAGTGCCCCGCACTTTAAATCATATGTTCTCCTTGTCCGACGTCTGTCGCGCCTTCTGTGACCCTTGTCAGGGGGCGAATGCAATACACGGCTCTTAGCCTTATTCGCGACTCGATCCTAGATAGGGTTTGAGTTCGACTCATGACTGAGTCTCTCGTGAATAGTCATTCGAGACAGGTTCTCAATGACCGCGCTAGTCATACTAGGTTGATGATGAAACATCGCTCTAGATATTTAGCCAGCGTGGAGTACTTCACGCTACTAGATCCAGGCTAGACAAACCTTCCACGCGTTCCGTTTTAGGGTTGTGGAGAGACGTAGGATTACTACCACAACCTACTCTATCACACTTTATAGTCTCCCGGGAAGCCAGATCTACGATCCTTTGATGATGATCTCTCTCGTTTTGATTAGTTTTCATAGCTTTCTAATCTCTCTCATAACTTTCATTCTCTCAAACCAAAACATGAAAGATCTTTACACTAGCTTTTAGCGTAGTGCACTGGGTTCGCAGGTGACTCCGTCCTTGGACGGAGTAATGCCAGCAAGGGGGGCAAGGTGAGTGAGGACGTGGTACACAGTGTCACGAATGCCATCACTTAGCGTTTCTTGCTGTAGTGGGTGCATTGAAGGAAATGGTCACCATAGGGGTCTAAAAGAACTCGTTTGCAATGGTTGCAAGGTTGGTTGGAGATGGCTGGGGGGAGGATGGCTAGTCGGAGTTTCCGTGGTAGAGGAGCTGGAAGATGTCATTGGAAAGCCTGTTGTGAGGGAACCGGCGGTTGTAGGACCGGAGGGGATGGCAGTGTAGTGGGAGAGAATGGAGGGGAAGATGGTAGTGGGGGCAGGGGGCAGTAGAGAGGAATGAGTCGAGGTGCAGGCGGGTGGTTTTAGTGTAGATGGTAGAGGCAAGGCCTTGGAGGTTGCCATCAGTGACAAATGTGCTGGGGGAGGGGGGGGATCAGAGTGGTGGGACGGAGGGAATGGTAGTGGGTAGGAAGTGGGGCAGGAGGGTGGTGAAGAGTTGGAAGAGGGGGACGGTTGTAGATGACGCTGCCAGGATGCAAGGGTGCGGGCCATGGTGGTGGGGAGGGAGGAATGTGGTTGGGCCGACATTGATCGCTGGTGGCATATCGGAGTTCCGGGTGGTGGAGACCAGGAATGCTGTGATGGAGGAGACAGAGTGGTTGCGTGTGCCCAAGCCGCCGGCAGATACAGGGAGATGCAGGAGGTGTTGGGAAACAGGGGAAGGGAGGTGGCGCGCCAAGTTGGGAGAGGAAGGAGTGGGATGCAGTGGAGATGGTGGACTGAAATGGGGAGTGCCAGTCGAAGAGGGTGGATGAGGTGATGGTGGTGGGGTCTAAATGATAGTAGACATCGGCTGCAAGGAGGTGTTGAATGGAAGGTAGGGCACAAGAGTGGAAGAGAAGGCACTTGGTGGGCAGGTCGGTAGTGCTGGTCCACAGCTTGGAGAGGTTGGTGGTGTATTTGGTAGCAGCTTGGGTGAGGTAGTGGGTAGCGAATGCTTTGGAGCCAATTGGTTGACCCAGGAAGCGGACACCGGCGGTGATTTCGGGGTTGACAAGGGAGCCGGCTTGGTTCTGAATGAAGAGGACAGCGGCTCGGACATGGGGGTCTTTGGAAGGGGTGCCAGAAGTGTTTGTGAGGAGCTTGGTCTTGGAGTAATTCAACTGTAGGCCGAGTTCTTTACCTTCGGTCTGGAAGGTGGTAAGGAAGGGGATGATGTCGGGGGGGAGGATGAATGTGTTGGTGTCATCAATGTAGGAGGAGACAGTGGCGTGGGAGCCGATGCCATCATCGCCTGTGTCGCCTTGGGCAATTCTGAGGGCAGCCTGCTGTTGAAGGAGGGCAAGAAGCTTGGACAGGAGGAGGCAAAGGCAGAAGACGGAGGCAGTGGCAGCCAGGGGGCAGCCTTGGGCATGGCCTTCTTTTTGGGTGAGGTAGCAGAGGGTTCCAGTGTCATCATAGTAGTAGCAGCGATTGGGGTTGCCATAGCACAGGTCGTAGAAGGGTATAAGGCAGGAGAAGTCATCAGATTCAAACAGGAAGTCTCGCACAGCGGCCCGGGAGCATTCATTGAACATGTTGCGGATATCCAGTAGGAGCAGGACCCGGGAAGCCTGGAGAGGGTTGGGGGAGGAGGTGACATAGCGATGAAGTTGGGCTCTGGCACTGGTGGTTCCCAGTGTGTGTGGGGTGAGGGGTGCTTCGCGATGGGGTGGGGGTTGGGGGGTAATGAGTCGTGTCATGACTCGATTCATTGATGACTCGACTCATTCGAATGACGTCAGTACGTGATTGAAGCTTCCTGCATGTATACGTGTTTTTTCTCTCGCATCTTTCCTCTCGCTTGAAGGCATCACAACATTGACACCATCCACAACCATAACATCCAATCGTCACATCCCCACTCTTAGCCTATTGCTAGCTGGTAGCTTCATTGATAGCTTGTAGTCTACATTGAGCGCTTGAATCGAATCTATAGAATCTAATTTCCAAGATGGCCCACGCCAGCCAACGATCTCTCTCGGTTGAGAGTTTCAAGGTCATGGACGTCCTTCGCAAGGCCAACCAACTGCAAGCGGAAGGAAAACATGTTTTGCATTGCGAAGTGGGACAACCCGAAACAGGAGCTCCAAAGACTGTGGCTCAAGCGGCTGTAGCTGCTCTGACAGAACCGCAAGTCATGGGATACACGGATGCCTTTGGATTGTTGCCATTGCGAGAAAAGATTCGCAATCATTACTCCAAAAAATACAACCTGCAAACCGAAATTCCTACCTCTCGCATCGTCGTCACCACTGGTTCCTCGGGTGCCTTTTTGCTCGCCTTTACGTCCTGTTTTGATACTGGTGATATAGTTGCCATTGCCAGTTCCGGGTATCCCTGCTATCGCAACATTCTCTCTGCGCTGGGATGCCATCAAGCCAATATACCCATCAACCAAGAGTTCAAACTCACTGCCAAAGAACTACACAATGAAATTGTCAGAAGAAAAGCAGCCAACTTGAAACCAATCAACGGGTTGATTCTATCATCGCCATCCAATCCAACTGGGGCCATGCTGAGTCCAGACGAATTGAAAGACCTCTGTGCACTCTGTGATGAGCAGGGGATTCAGTTCCTTTCCGATGAAATATATCACGGGATATCCTACGGACAAACAGAAGCCACGGCATTACAGTATTCACAAAATGCCTTGATTATCAACTCATTCTCCAAATATTACTCCAGTAAGTACCGAACTACCCATCGCAAGTGCACGCGCCCTTTGCTGGCCATGCATTGGCTTCATTCATTCATTCGGTAACACTCAATGCCCTTGTCGTTTTTGCTTGCCAGTGTCTGGATGGCGTCTGGGCTGGATGGTTATCCCCGAAGAACTCGTCGAACCAATCAACAGTTTGCAGCAAAACATGTTCATCAATGCACCCACAATATCGCAAACGGCTGCTCTCAAATGCTGGGATGGCGACACCATTGAAGAGCTCGAAAAACATGTCACCAAATATAGGACCAGTCGACAACTCATTCTGGACCAACTTGCTTCCATCGCAGAGATTGACGACACAAACATTGCACCGGCGGATGGGGGATTCTACATCTACGTGGACTTGGGTAAAGAAAACGTAGCACCGGGACTTGGTTCGGTCAAAATGTGCGATTTGCTATTGCAAGAAAAGTACGTGGCCATGACGCCAGGAACCGACTTTGAAGATCCAGATTCCAGCTTGGGAGATCGACGCTTTCGCATATCTTATGCGGGTGGCATTGAAACGGTCCGCCAGGCTATGCAACGTTTTCATGAGTTCTTCCCCACGTGGGTAGAACGGGTCAAGAAAGCCAAGGGGGAAAAGAAAACCAAAGAATGACCAACGTAGACATGTTTTCTCAAGTTCAGATTGACGCAAACATAATAGCAATCATTCATACATGTAGTTTCCCAAGTTCATCCGTGGCGCAGCAATCGACGTGGTAGCCGTGTCGTACGATCGTGGAGCGTTTGAATCTAGCTAGCTAGGAGCGGTTCATACTAGTAGTTGTAGGCTTCGGTGTGCTGGTCAGCTAGAGCAGCTGTGGATCTTGAAGGCATTGGCGTGCCCACCGGTACCCTACGAGACCTATACCATTGCGTTCTGTACTTCTTAATCGTCTTGCTATCTTTCTTTTCGTCCTTGCTCTTCATGCCTTGGCTCACATCCTGAATCCTGACATCATAACGATCCGCTCCTACTCAACCGTACGGTACCTGCGAACCAACAATTTCCAAGGCACATTCCAACATTCCAACGTCTAAAGAGCTTAGAGGGGGAAACGCGTCTCAACCTCAGCAGGGCACTCCGTAATGCAGGTGACCTTGTCCGCGTCAGCGTAGGCTGGAGGGACACACTTGTTGATCTGCGTTCCATCAGGCTTGGTAATCGTCGCCTTCGAACCTTTCATGGATGCCCCGTAAGGGAGCTCAATGTCACAAGGACAACCACATTCCACGGGAGTGGGACAAACATCGTCGCAACAGCCACACTCGACACGTGGAAAGTCAATGTGACCATTGTCACCTGGGCCATCGAACTCGGGTGGGTTCAAAGGAACACACTTGGAGCGAGACAAGCCACGAGGACCTCTGCCGCGACGGCCACGGCCCATGCCTGCCATACCGGGGGCCAGAGTTGGACGAAGACTGCTGGCCGCATCTTGGACGCGACAGACAAAGAAGCCATCTTCGCCAAACGGCGTGGAACAAGCATTAGTATCGGTACCAATAGTACACTGAGGAAACTCGGGCTGGGCCGAAACCATGCCAATGAGGGCAGCAGCGGAGAAGGCAAGGATTTTGAAGTTCATTGTTATGAGTTTTGTTCGGGTCTTTCCTTGAATGTTTTTCTTTGGCCTGTTTGTTTTAGTTGTTCGATTTGATTTGTGAGCTTTGACCAGAGACAGTGGCCTATCGTGTGAAAAAGGCTGAGGCGTGGGAGTCGAATTTGCAAACACCACGAACCAATTGGTGTGCGAGATGAAGTTGCAGCAAAGATCTTTCTCTATCGAACCGGAAGGAATCTTACATCTGATACTGGCCAGCTAGCAAGCTAAAGGAGAGCTCAGATCAGGAGGATGACAGCATTAATCGGTTGCTGTGTCTCTGTGGCCGAGCCTCCTCTAGGAGACGGTTTTGCATTGAGCCACTGTTGGAGCATACTGGGTTGGGTTCTCGTGTGGATGATCGTGCATCTTTCATTGGATATGCTAGATGATTGGTTGATCACTTGATTGGCTGGCTGCACGATTAGTCGCTGAGCAATATGATGCAGTGTCATTTACCGAGGTCTCTTTTGGAACGAACCCTGGCCCAAGCTACCGGTAGCAAGGGAGCTTCGCTTTCATCCGTATGGCTTACCTTTGGCACGATTACAGAATAGAACAGTAGAACAGTAGAACAGTAGACTGCCATCAGCATGAGTTGGGGGTCACCATGATAAAGGGCGAATCGTATCATCGTAATGGAATCTCGTTGTATTCAGCCAAGAATATCTGTTGCTTCAATGAGAGGTGTATCTGCAACAACAGGAAGGGGGGAAGTTCCAGAGCTCAGTCTGATAGGTTAGTAGGGTTACCTATAGCTAGACTCCACAAAGGTATCTCATTGACTGTCTACCTCAGAGTCAGCCACGAGTCCTTCATTCTGTACTGGCAGTTGATTGGTCTGCTCCGACACGCGGTTGCTGGTGAGACAACTTGATCAGATCCGCAGCCAAAGCATCTTGTCAACACTACGCCAAGGTCCCAATGCAATGTCTTCCATAGACAAGATTCCTTTATCTTGGATGGAATCTTCTGTCACTGTTGCTGCCAAAGAGGAGGCAATAGTGTACTGGTGCCTTCCTCCCCATCAAGGACTAGTCCTCCATTCAATGCATTCTGGTAAAATGGGGGTAGTGGTATGCTGGTGGCCTCTTCCCCATCATCATCCTCATCATCAAATATTTCGACGTCGAAGGGGTGGTTTGACAATGCTCCTTGTGTCTTCAAGTACTCGTGGTGATTTCGATACAAGCATTAGAAGTTTGTTCCCTTGAGATGTATCCAGAGTGGCCCAGTACATGTATTTTTTGATGTTACCTAAAGCAGCATTGAGACGGCCAAGTCTATCTCTCTCCCACCGTTCCAACTGTGGCAGGTGGCCAAGAGATACTTGGTAAGATCCCTTTCTCTTGTCCAGCTGCTCCGGTGCATACTTACTTCCGTGGTTCCGTGTACGGTTCATGCAATGACCAGACAAGATACCATGGAAACTTGACCCTTCTGGAAGCTCTTGTGCAGCATGTAGTAATGATGGCTGACAACCAATACATTTTCCAAACAGGATATCACCTATTGCAATCTCATTGTTGCATCCGTACTAGTAGTGCAGAAGTTGGAGGATGCATGGTCTACCGGTAAACGAGTACAATCCCTTCGGGATTGCCCTCGGTCGCCTTCTCCTTCTGCTGCTCATCATCCATGGTCAAGTGGTTGGTTGTTGGCTATCTCTCAGTCCCGGACTGAGGGAGAGCCTCACAACGCTTGAGCTGAGCATGACCCAGAAGGAGATCTGAAGTCAGGGTCAGGATTGAAGCCTGAACCTGGACTGAAAAGCTTCTTCTGACTACAGGGTGGGCGGGTGTTGGGATGCAGGAAAACGAAGGCTTTGTACATCAACTGTTGTTGGTGTACAAAGACAAGAGAATAAGCACTTGGTGCTTGTTATCTTGTTGGTGCCAGCTCATCCAATGCCAATGCTGGGTGAGCAGGAACCACCTACAGTTACCTGTCGGTCATGCTGGCTTCAAGGTTGTGGACCCTCATTTGCTCTGCTACTGGTGCTTCACTATGAATGGAGTTAGTCTCTGCCGGACAATGTACCCCCTTGTCTCTTCCTTCCCCGGATTGTAAAAAAAGTGACTGTCACTCTGCTGGCTAGCTAAGGATCTTGCCCTCAACGGACTGAGGGTCTTTCACACTTTTTGCCCTCGACCCACTGAGGGTCTTTCACACTTTTATCCCTGTATATGTATGCAAGTTAGTCTGTACGTCCACCATAAAGGATGGGGTTGCCCTCAACCAACTGAGGGTCTTTCACACTTTTGTCGCTGTATATGTATGCAAGTTAGTCTGTACGTCCGCCATAAAGGATGAGAAAAATAATAATTGTTAGCTGGTAAAACATACTCCGAGTACCAAACTAGGTGTGTGTGCAAGTTAGTGTGTACATCCGCCATAAAGGATGGGGTAAATAATAATTGTTAGCTGGTAAAACATACTCCGAGTACCAGTGTGTTTGTGTGTGTGTTTGTTGCAGCTGTTTTTGTCACGTAAAGGACACTTTCCTCGGTAAGGATAGGGGTTGATATTGTGTGTTTTGTTGAACACAGTAGTTTGTTCACATGGGTACCGATACTGGCTGAATATGCAGACTCGCTAGTGTGTCCTGTCAAACACAATCTAGGTTTGGCCAAAGACATAAGGGACAATTTCCTCGTTAAGGATAGGGACTGATATTGTGTGTTCTGTTGGACACAGTAGTTGGGTACCGGTACTGGCTCTACAGACTCCCTAACTAGTGTGTCCAGTTGAACACAGTAGTGCAGCAGTGTAGGTTTGGCCAAAAGATTTTCATGAAAGATGAGGGAATCAAATCTCTTTTTGACAGTTGAGGGCATAAGCCTCCGGCTGCGTATTCTAAATAATAATTGTTAGCTGGTAAAACATACTCCGAGTACCAAACTAGGCATGTGTGCAAGTTAGTCTGTACGTCCGCCATAAAGGATGGGGTAAATAATAATTGTTAGCTGGTAAAACATACTCCGAGTACCGGTGTGAATTTGTGTGTTTGTTGCAGCACAGCTGTTTTTGTCACATAAGGGACAATTTTCTCGTTAAGGATCGGGACTGGTATTGTGTGTTTTGTTGGACACAGTAGTTTGTACACATTGTACCGGTACTGGCTGGATACACAGATTTGCTAGTGTGTCCAGTAAAACACGATCTAGGTTTGGTCAAAGACATAGGGGATATTTTCCTCGTTAAGGATAGGGACTGATATTGTGTGTTCTGTTGGACACAGTAGTTGGGTACCGGTACTGGCTGTCTACCGGTACTGGATGGCACTACAGACTGGCTACTTGGTATGTAGTGTGTCCAGTTGAACACGGTATAGGTTTGGCCAAAAATTGTTAAGGATAAGGGCGGGAATGAATCAAATCTCTTTTTGACAGTTAAGGGCACAAGGATCCGGCTGCGTGTTCTATGGCTGTATATGTATGCTAGTTAGTCTGTACGTCCGCCATAAAGGATGGGGTAAATAATAATTGTTAGCTGGTAAAACATACTCCGACTACCAAACTAGGAATGTGTGCAAGTGAGTCTGTACGTCTGCCATAAAGGATGGGGTAAATAATAATTGTTAGCTGGTAAAACATACTCCGAGTACCAGTGTATGTGTGTGTGTGTGTGTTTGTTGCAGCTGTTTTTGTCACATAAGGGACACCTTCCGCGTTAAGGAGGGGTTAATATTGTGTGTTCTGTTGGACACACATGAGTACTGGCTGGTTAGTAGTACATTGTTGTTGCTATCCGTAATGTCTACCCAACGACTTAATAACGGGGGTTTGGGGGTGGGTTCTGCAAAAAAGGTTGGGAGATTTAGTATAGAGCAAACAGTTCAAAAGCTGATTTTGCTTTTAAGGGTCATATTTAAGCAAATTCGGTGGGTGAAAGCATGCACTAGTTAAATGCAGGCAAATAACCCACAAAATCCATGATGTCCAAGCTTAAGCCATAACCTTTCGACATGGTTTGAATAAATTAAAAGCATTAAAGTGGCCATGCCTCACATTGCCAATTTGTGTAGTACCGGTAGTCACAATGGTCTCATAATACCTGCACAGACCAGTACATACTACATGTATACTAGTATACTAGTATTGTTCAGATGCATTGTACATATCGTTCACCCGAAATTGAAAGAAAATGCTTCTCAGAAACCACATAAGGTAGCACTGACAGAACAAGAAAGAATAAACATTAAGTAAATAAGTCCCTAGCTAGTTATAAGCAATTCCATTCAATGGAAATTGAAAGAAAAAGCTTCTTAGAAAATGGCCTCCCCACTCCCCACCACTCTTCTTAGATTACAACACACCTTCAGCATGTATGTACCTGTTCTACAATAGTGGTAGTGCTGGGGATTAGCATGTGTGTACCCCTTCTACCATACATTGTACTGGTAGTGCTGCGGATTAGCATGAATGTACCCGTTCTACCATACAGTTTACTGGTAGTGCTGCGGATTAGCATGAACGTACCCATTCTACCATACTACAGTTTACTGGTAGTGCTACGGATTAGCATGAACGTACCCGTTCTACCATACATTATGCTTCAGGTGCATTGTACATATCGTTCTCCCGAAATTGAAAGCAAATGTACCACCAACCCACGGGCCGAACAGTAACACTGCGCCATCTAGAGACTAGTGTGTCCAGTTGAATACAGTGTACGGATTTGGCAAAGAATCAAATTTCTTTTACCTCGGCAGTCTATCTGCCTGAGTTCTCAACCCCTTTACCTCGGCAGGTAAACTGCCTGAGTTCTCAACCCCTTTAATGCTATTTCCTATTTTTTATTTCCTATTTCCTATTCCGGTGAAGCCAAAGTATAAGGATAGAGATAGTCATAAGCCAACAAAACTGAACATTGATGGTTCAATACAAGTTAGGGGTAGGAATAAATCATTAATATTTAAGATTAGTGCAATCAGCACAACAGCACAATAAGCCAGCAGGAGCTGTAAAGGTTAGAGTTACAATAAGGGAATGTCAGCTGGTAAATTATAGAGTAGCGGGCGGCAACACACGACGTAGTCGGGTGTTGTCGCCAGGGCTAGCTTAATAAAGAAGGTTGCAATGAGGGAATGAATGATACCGGGCGGCAACACACGACGTAGTCGGGT